TTCTTTTCTCAACAATGATTGTAAGAATTTCCTTTTTTAACTTCTTAATTTTTTTTCTCTTATCACATCACAGGGCTGCCTGAGGACAAGATTTACCCATTTAATTTTTTTAAATTTTGCTCTGTGAACCACAATGACTCTACAAGTTCAAGTACCCACCTCGAGATTTAGAAGCAGGATTTGTCGCTAAACATAAACATAATTGGTGTTCTAGTTTGGGTAACTTCTCTTTTTTTTAAAGTATTTACTTTTAATAAATATTTTTAAAAATAATTTACCAAATGCATCATATTTATATTTTATGCTGAAGATTGTTAGAAGGGAGTTCTACTTACCCTAATTTACTCATAAGGAATACATCTATGAGACCTTTGGAGAGCCCAAACCAAAATCATCAGAGCTTAAGTTCAAAGTGGACAATATCACACCATTGTGGAGAGTCGTGATTCCTAACATTTTAAACTCTTAAAAACCGAAAATTCTTAATCTTACTCGTATTCAATCAAAAACAATGTGTGGCAGGTACAAACGTTAGACAAAGTTTGAAGAGGTTGGTCGGGAGATTAATCATGCGAGGTCTTCTTTCTCTAACTCTAAAACATGTTTTTAACGAGAAAAACAAATAGTGTATATATATATATATTAATTATGACATTTAAAACACAGGGTGGCCTAAATGCAGAGATCTGTACAAGAATAAGCAAAGACATAAATTGATTCTAAGAATCACTGAAATGCTAGTGGACACAGAGTTGGACATAGATTTGTCATGTTGCCGGAAAAAACAGGAGCTCGACAGCATTCATGTTAACGTATTAGAACTAGCAAAAGACCGTACAGCCAATGGTAAAAATATTGAATACATGGACTACCATGAGACGCCATTGTTACTGGCCGCAGCTAGGGGAATAATAGAAGTGGTCGAAAGGATCATCAAAGCCCACCCACAGGCTGTGGACTACGTGACAACAAACGACAGAAACATTCTACATGTCATCATTGCACACCGACAACTCAACATCTTTGAATGGATTCAACGCCGAGATCTTATCTTGCACAGACTGGCCAAGAGGATCGACGTGTTGGGCTACACAATATTGCACCATGTTGGAATCACTAAATTCCTCAATCATTCCACCTTTGGTCCAGCAATACAGCTTCAAAATGAGATTGACTGGTTCGATCGCGTCTATGAAATGATTCCGCACCCTTACAACATGCATTATAGCAAAGACGGTTGGAAACCCCGTGAGTTCTTTGATGAAACTCACCAGGATATGCTTGATAAAGGCAAAGAATGGATCAAGAAAACCTCCGAGTCTTGCTCTGCTGTTGCTGTCCTCATGGCCACTGTCGCCTTCGCCGCTGCCTTCACTGTTCCCGGTGGACTCAACTCCAAAACTGGCTCTCCAGTTCTCCTCTCTGACCCTATCTACATTTTGTTCACCGCCTTAGACATCGCCTCCCTCATCTCATCGCTCTCCTCCTTGGTTCTGTTTCTCTTGATCTTGACCTCCCCTTTTGAGATGGATGCTTTTCNTTCGACAAGAATTGCCAATTCAATTGTCCTTGGGATTCAATCTGCTGTTCTTGTCGGTGGCGAGCACCATGATTGCGTTCGCTGTGGCGGTCGTGCTCACACTCAAATCCACCAACATGGTATGGGCGGAATGCCTTTTGTATTTGGTCACACTTGCTCCAATAACCATTTTTGTAGTAATGAAGTTGTCGCTGTTGATGGAGCTGGAGAGAAGTGTTCGGAAGAGTCTACGATTTCTTTGGAAGTTGCTACCCATGGGTTTCCTCACCATGTTTGTTGAGATTCCTTCCAAAGTTTTAAGCAACAAATCTACCTGATTTTCATGCCTGCCTTTGGGAGCTCATATAACAAACTACTTCCTTTTCTTACCTTAATTTCCTGTACTACCTTAATAAATCTCAACTTTGTTCCACTTAACCTTCAAACATGTGCTTTTTATTTATTTTTCAAACCTTAATACAATATTACTATGAATCATATGTTAGATATCCCTAACCTAATTAATATTTTATCCCTTAATAATGTATTTTCTCTCATTTGTACGAGTTGGTTGAGGATATAATTTTTTTCTTATTTCCACAAGTTAATTGATAGATTGTATCCTCACATTAATGAAAATTGTTAATCCTGACTTTAAATCAAACAATGTTTTATGTGTGTTTTTATTCTGATGTCCATCAGCAAACTTACTAATAACTTGAAATGTTGTGTCGCCTTCTATCCTTATTTTTGTTATGCACGACTTGACTACGGGGAAGATGATTGGATCGGGTAAACAATTTGGAGGTTTCTATCATATTTCTTTATCTCCAATCAAACCTTCACTAAATCAAGTATCCCAGTCATCTAATTTTTGGTTCCTATGCCAAGGTCATCCTTCATTTTCTCGCTTTAAATTTCTAGTTGATCAATTGCATCTTGAAAATGCTACATTTTTCTCACAAGTGTAGTATTTGCCCATTAGCAAAACAAACTAGGTTGTCTTTTCCAAGAGGCTCAATAACAACACATTATGCCTTTGATCTGATACATTGTGATGTTTGGGGACCTCATAAAATTTCTACCCATTTTTGTTTGTGTTTTTTTTTCTCACTATTGTTGATGATTTTACATGATGTACTTGAGTTTTTCCTATCCAACACAAATAAGAAGTACAACTTTCGTTAATGAACTTTATTAAATTCATTCAAACCCAATTTCACACTAATATCAAGATAGTACGATTAGACAATGAGACTGAGTTCCTATTTTTGCAACCACTTTTTAATTCTTGTGGCATTGAATTTTAGCACACTTGTGTCTATACTCCACAACAAAATGGAGTTGTAAAACTGAGCATCGTCATATCCTAAATGTAGTTAGGTCTTTCTCTTTTACTCACATGTTCCACTTAATTTTTCGGGAAAGTGTATTTTAACTATTATTATCTTATAAATAGAACACCATCAACGTTATTATCTAACACGACACCCTTCGAGACACTTTACAAACGACCACCTACATTTTATCATCTTAAAGTCTTTGGCTATAAATGTTATGCAAATGTAGTCCTAAACAAAAATTTAAATCTCGTACAATTTCTTGTGTTTTCGTAGAATAGCCTAATGGTCACAAAGGTTACAAGTTGTATGACATACAGTCTCACAAATTCTTTATCAGTCGTGAGTTTAAATTTTGTGAAGATGATTTTCCTTTTTCATCAGCTTTACAAACTTTGAGATCATCTCCTTCAACTCCCATTTTACCACACCATGATTCAAACATTCATTCTCCTCCTATTTCGTCATCTTCTTCACCTTCTGTTCCTTCTCCAGTTTCACCCACTAATTCTAATCCTATCCCACTAATACGTCAGTTCTACTTCGACGTTCTACTCGTACCAAATAACTTTCAGCATGCATAATGATTATGAGATGTCTTCTATAGCTAATCATTTAACCTCTAGCTCAAGTCCCAGCACTAGCACTAGGTACCCCTTTCATCATTACCTTTCATTCTCTGAATGTGCTTTTCCAACTCTTATTATAACCCAGACAGAACCTAAAACCTATGATGAGGTAGTTGGTGGAATCATTATGGCAGCAGGCTATGAATGCTGAAATTACAGCTTTGGAACGTAATCATATTTGGTCTTTCATTCCACTACCACCTGACCATAAAGCTATTGGTTGTCGTTGGGTGTACAAGGCTAACTACAACTCTAATAGTTTTGTGGAACGTTATAAAGTTCGGCTGGTAGCAAAGAAATACACTCAAGTTGAAGGTATTGATTATAAAGAGACATTTTCTCCTACAGCGAAACTTACTACACTTCGTTGCTTACTCACTATTGCTGCTACTAAAAAATGATTTACTCGTCAGATGGATGTTCAAAATGTCTTTCTGCATGGTAATCTAAACGAGAAAGTCTACATGTTTTTACCACTAGGTCTTCGCTGATAGGAAGGGAATACAGTATGTCGGCTACTTAAGTCTCTTTATGGGTTAAAACAAGCTTCTCGCAATTGGTTCTCCATATTCTCTACCACTCCACAAAATGTAGATTACACTCGGTCAAATGCTGATTACTCTTTATTTAAGAGTAGAGATATTTCTTTCATCGTAGTTCTTATTTATGTTGATGATATTTTGTTGATTGAATTAGTCTCTAAGTGGGAGATTATTGGGATATGGAGTCTGATGCCTATTTGTAGTAAAGATCTCGTACAAATATATATGGTAGATATTCGTAAAGATCTATAGAGATATATATGATAGATATTTTGTAAAGATATACCTAGGATAGATATTTAGTAAAAATTGATATATGGTAGATATTTAGTAAACATTTAATAAAGCTATATTTAGTAAATTGAAACCATATATATACCTCATTAGACCGCTTTCAAAATGTACTTCCTGTATTCTCTCTTAATGCATATAATTGAGTAATCCATACAAAATCTTTAGCTAATATTTCTCTTTGCATTTTCTCTCTATTGTTCTTTGTGTTCATCTAGATTGATTATGTGCGTTGTTGTGCGATCCTAGAATCTAATCTCTAAAAAAAAAGTAGCTTGTTTTATCATGTAAAGCATGGGAAGTCGAGAAATGACTCTAACTCATAATTCAATGTATAAACAAGCTAACTCTCCTAGCAGAATCTCATCTTGCACACTAGAATAATCCGTAGTTCACAATCTCTCTAAATGTAATCTAACCGTTACAATTCGAGAATCTTTAGGCTAGTTATGTCTATATTAATATACAGCGTCATTTCTAACTTAAAAATGCTTAACAAAATAAATCCTACGGACATACTTGAATAAAGAATCTAAAATGGCTACGTTCAACATTAAGGATCCATAAAATCTTAGTTTTCTCCTTTCTTCAAGCTCAAAATTCACAAACTCCTTAATTACGTCTTCACTCGAGTCAAAAGAAGAATGCATGGTGAAAACGGATCCAAAGTCCTATTTTGGAAATCTAAAATACATTTTAAATAGTGAAAAGTCAAAGAATTGGGTTGACTGTTGACCAATGGTCAACATCCCCTTCCTCCCCTGCTCAACCTTTAGTATTTTCTTGTTTGGTTGATTTTAAACTCAGTTCCACCTGAGTTCATCATCAAACATGTTGATCTATACTAGAAAAAAGTATTGATGCAAAATTTATGAATTTCCATATACTCGAAGAAGATATCAGTGCTGAAAAATCAACGATTCACCTTCTTACCAAGAACTCTTAACAAGTGTTTATTATATGTTTCATGACTTTTCGTCTCCCGATGCCTTCTTGAGAAATCTTGTACTCATAGAGGTGAAATTAATGACTCAAGAACCACATCTAATTTGCAGTAGGAGAATGATTTAGTTTCTAAAACTCAATGATTTTAAGAGGTTAGAGATCTCAAGGTCTGGCCTCTTTCAACTCTCGATTCCTTCTCAAGAAATATTCATCTTAATCTGATGAATTTGTAGGAACAAATCTTATTATATTTGGTTGAGAGTGGAAAAAGAAAAAAAATAAAAAAGTGAGGTACATTCAAACTTTATGTATTAACCAAAAAATTAGAGAGAAAAAAAAGGGAAATTGTCCCACATCCATTAAGAAGTGGGGAGTTGGACTTCAATATAAAAGGGAGGTTCCTTACTTCATTTTACCTTCTATCATTCCACTTGAACGGTTTGAAGCCGATCGGAGAATATACTTTTTAACGGCTCTAGAATGACATTTCGGCTGATCCGGCTTGGGTCTGAAATGCTCAAACTATTTTCTATTAGTTTAACCTCTTTGGAAGCGTTTAGATTAGTACGACTACCTTTTATCTAGTTTATATTATTAGGAGTAAGTATAAATTATTTGATGCAAAATCAAGTGAGTTAATTCCCATAGTAGAATTTCAATTTATGATTGTTGGACTCTTTAGCCATAATAAAATTTTAGAGAGCAGCGTTAAGCTAGCATCAAGAAGTCGTAGTAGCTTCAGCCTAGGCTAACAAAGTAAATTATCATACTTTTGAATCGGTCAGAAGACTTGTCTTATGTATGATGACATGTGCCCAGTGGCCCTTGCACATGTCATATATGTTGATATGATATACTATGATGACGTAATATGTTATAATGATGTGATTTTCTATGATATGATATGTTATGATGATATATTATGCTATGATGATGTGATGTACTATGATGTTATGATACATTATGATGATCGTGCATTATGGCATGATTACCTGAGATGTATGATGATGATAAGACATAGTATGATAATACCTCCTGTTACGATGATGTGCATGTATGACATGTCATGTTGCATTATGATAATGAAGGGTTTTCTGATACACAACTCCTAAGCTTATGCATGCATGTTACCAAGGGTAATATGTGAAGGATGTGTAAGGTTGTGTCGAATTAACGATTTAAGATGAAAAGTATAGGGACCTCATGCACATTATATGTTCATTTACATCGGGGTAATTTTCATTTTATGATGAGTACAGACGTGTGCATTATGATGATGATCACCATCGTCATGCTTTACATGATATACGAGAGTTTGTTGTACCTCCAAACGTCTGACTACAGCCAACTAGCCTGACCATGCAGGCCTAGGGGGTGTGCGAGCCAGCCTAGTGGGTTCATGCTCACACGTGTGGGTCGTGTGTAGGGAAGTACTACACATCCTATTTGTCTAGACTAGAGGCCACCTCTATGATGATTTTAAATGGTAGGTCCCTAATCATGATTGCATGTGTTTCATTCTCTTGACTCCAACAGTGGGGTCAACTACTGAGT